GAGTACTAAATCTATCCAATTGTGCTATCATCCAGCTCACTTGTCTTTAATATTGGCCACAAGAGACTTACAAGTGACTTTGCTTTGACATTGCTAGGTATGCGATGTCAAAGGTATGCCCCTGATTTACCAATTTAGTAACTTTGTTGAAAAGAAAGAAGGAAATGTTAGTAAGATTAGTCTTGCATGACCCATTCTGTATCAACCCACACTGGCTTTCAACCATCACCATTGCCCTTCCTAAGTATTCACATATCATCTCTTTTTAATCTGCTTTGGAATTTTGCCACAAATCTAAATCAAGCTTCCTGGCCTGTAATTCATTAATTTGAAAACTCCATCATCATCCCTTTTTGGAAAATGAAAACAACATTTGTCTATTTCTACTCAAGATGTACCTACCCTACCTTCTATTTTTCCTCTCTCAGACTTGGTTTCCTTTCCTATAAAATGACTGTAGAGGGGCTGGGGAAAGAAGAGGGTGAAATTCTGTGGATTGAATTATTCTATTTTGGGGCAAATCTCTTGAAGGGATGCCATGAGTTTATTTGATGTAATGATTGTTGGAGAATTTATCTGGTTATTTATTAAAGGGTAACTCGTAAACATCTTTATTCATTTTCCGAGTTTTCCTGTTCAGTTATTTCACAATGAAAGATATTTGCTTTTGAAATGACTAGTGTGCACGCACACACCAGAGAAAGAGTGATTGGAGAATTAACCTCTGGCCTCTAATAAAATGAGTAGATGACTGATTGCAAAATATGGGACAAAGTTTCTTTATCCAGTCTTATTTATAAGCTAGATGAGATGGAGTTGGAGTAACTTTGTTTTTATAAAAAAATAATTTTAATATATGTATATATGCATAAAATTAACTGTGAAATACAATTGAGTCAGGATGGTTATTTCTCAACTCTCATTTTTTTTCTTTGGTAAACACTTCACTCTAGTAGAAAAAGATCTAGGCAAATCTAATTAATATCCTTAGAACTGAACTTACAAAATCTACGATGTAATCATTACTTATTACTAATTACTACCTCCATATAGAGACTAGGATTTCAAGGTTGGAATTAAAAACAACAATGGAGGAAGGATCATAGGCTATAGATTTAGAGATGGAAGTACCTTAGAGGCCAACAAGTCCAACTACCTCATCTTTCAGATGAGGAAACCGAGGCAGAGTTTATTGTGACTTGCCTATGGTTAAAAAAAAGCTGGTAAATATCGGATGCTATGTTCAAACCCATGTCTTCTTCTTCTTTTCTTTTTTTGGTAGGAGGCGATCGAGGTTAAGTGATTTGTCCAGGGTCACACAGCTAGTTAAGTGTCAAATATCTGAGTCTAGATTTGAACTCAGGTCCTCCTGAATCCAGGGCCAGTGCTGTATCCATAGTGCCACCCAGCTGCCCCAGAACCCATGCTTTCTTGACTCCAAGTCTAGTACCCTACCCACTACACCATGCCAATGGTGAAAATCCCTCCTATGTTACTTGCTAGCCACATAGTGATTTAACCTCTTTATGTTACTTATGATTCTCTAGGACTTAAGTCACAGACTCATTTCTATTTACATTGGTGGAGGGAGAATCCATGACAGGAGTTCCGTTTGCTGATGAAAGCACAGATCCTTCATGTACTTCTTTGCACACTCATATATTACCTCCTTATGGAAGTTATAGCTTCTCTACAGAGTTTTATATATTTCCAAATAACTACTAGACATCTCTAGCTGGGATGTCTAATTGTCAAACTCAGAGTGTTCAAAACTGAATTCATCTTGCCCCAAAGATCTATTCATCTCCTTAACTTCCTTTTTACTTTTTAGCATACCACCAGAAGGTCTCATTGACCAGGGCTCTTAAGTTTTGAGTCACCTTTGACTATTCTCTCTACCTCACTAGTCACTTCCAATCAGTTAACAAATCCAGTTATAGACTTCTACACTCATGGAACGCTTTAGCTAGAAGGGACCCTTTGTTGTTATTGGTGTTGTCGTTGGATCATTTCCAGTTGTGTCTGACTCTCTGTGACCCCATTTGGAGTTTTCTTGGCAAAGATACTGGAGTGGTTTGCTATTTCCTTCTCCAGCACATTCCGCAGATGAGGAACTGAGGCCAACAGGGTTAAGTGACTTGCCTAGGTTCACATAGCTAATAAGTGTGTGAGGTTGGATTTGAACTCACAAAGAAATCTTCCTGACACCAGGCCTGAATTCAGGTGTTTCTGACATTTTATTCACCTAGCAGCCCCTAGACAGAACCCTAGAGATTGTGTAATCTAATATCCCAGTAAGATGATTTGCCTAAGATCACAGAGCAGGTAAGTGGTAGAGTTAGGACTCCAATTTGGGCCTTCCTAATTAGGAATAATCCACAGTACAGGCCTTTTTTGCCTCCTCAACAACATAAATAGTATCTGTCTTCTTTCTATTCTCTCCTGTAATTACCCTACTTCAGGTCACCTTTTCATTTCACTTAGACCATTATAATAGCCTCTTAACAATACTTTCTGCCTCTAGTCCATTCCCCCTGCAATCCATCCTTCATATGGTTACCCAAATAATTGTCCTAATTCACAATTCTGTTCATGTAGTTCTCCTACTCAAAAACCTTTAGGGGCACCCCATTGCATGGCTAAAGAATACACTCTTGACTCTGCTATTCAAGTTTCTATATTCTAGCTCCAATATATTTTTCCAGTTTTAGCTTCAATTTATCCCATTTATTTTCTAGTCAAACTCCTTAGCATATTCTTGTCCTGTCTCCTCCCATCTCTATACCTTGGTTGATATCACCCCCACCCCTGACCCCTCGCCCACTCATTCATTAATGAGACATTTATTGTCTCTTCTGTGCAAGGCATAAAAGTAATGATGAAAAACGATGCAGTCTGTTCTCAAGAAGCTGACGTTCTACTGACAGATAGAGTTTGTATACAGATAAGCATGATGCAAAGTAGATTATGGTGAAGTCAAAAAGGGTAATCTAGACAAAGTGGTCTAGGAAAGTTTGAACAAGAAAGAACAATATCAGCTTTAGGCCTCCCTTCAGGACTTATGTCATGTGCTACCACTTTAATGAGGCACACTCTTTAATATCCTCCTATTCTCCCGTTTGGGAATCATAGCCTTTTGCCTGGACTACTCCTTTTCAATTACTGTATCATATTCTCTCTTGTATTCAAATACTCAAATGCATACGGGATGTCATTGATTTAGACGACTCCTCCAATGATGCAGGTCTTGATACATCGATGGCTTCCCATTCTGTAAGACTCTTGTCCATGTTCTCCCAGAAAGTTTTCCCAGGGGATCCACTCAATGTATTGAGATCCTTCCTTATTTTCTCTCAATATTGGGAAAAAATGCAGTCTGTTATGGAATCATCCTAAAAGCCATTCTAGGATGGTAGAGCTGCTAGGGCTTGTACGCCATAGCTATGATCTTTGAGAACTCAGGGTCACCTTCTCCTAATGATGAGGTGTTGGACTAGGATTTTGTGGAGGTCTTATTATAGCGTAACTACTTGCATATACATCTTTCCCCTCTATTAGGTTAAAAGTTCTTTGAGAATAGGGCTCAAATCCTGTTTACTTTTACATTTCTAGGACAGTGCTTTACACATAGTAAAAGCTTAATAAATGTTTGTTGACTTGAGTCATTGTTGAACAGAAGTATTTGTTTTGCTACTCAGGAAAATGGCTTGTTTGCTTCGAAAAACATTCTGGCCTATTTTAATAAAAGTTGTAGGAATATAATTCCGTTTTTCAGTCAGCTGGAATAAGTCTCCTGAAGATGAATCATTCACTTCATATTGTTCTAATGTGCGGTTTGTTTTTATGGAGTAGGGACAAAGCACTTTGAGTGGGTTATTGGAAGATGAAGGGAATCAGTATTTTAAAATTTCACTCCTTGGGATATTATTCAGTTTAGTGTTTTCATCTTTAATGTTTTTAATTCTATAGTTTAAAAACAAAAATCCTAAGCATTTGAAGATTATTGTAGAAGAAACATTATCTTTTGACTCGGGACAGATTGTTCCGTCCCTTTTCTGGTTTTTTAATATTTGACCAGGAAACTATGGTTACAGCCATATCTTTTATTTAGAGGTATCTGCTTTTCCATTTCTAAAACTCACTAGGCCAACGAAAGTTTGTTCAGTCATTATTCATTTATTCACCGATGCTCTCATCAATTAGTCGACATTTATGCAAATAATTGTGCTATGTGCCAAGGAAGATGCAAAGGGCACCAGCCAGGGAATAAAGCGAGATACAGAGGACCTGCTGATCCATGATGGTAGTTTTCCTCTTTCCAATTTCCTAGACCAGTGAAATCACAGGTGCAGAAAAAATCCTTTAAAAATATTTTAAAGAACTTCACTCCTTTGTTATTTTTATACATGCATAGGATCATAATTTTTGAAAACTCCTTAGGGTTCATGCAGTCCAACCCCTTCATTTTTTAGATGAAGAACCTAAAGAAAAAGGAAGTGACAAACCCAAGGTCACTCAGAAAATGAAGAAGCACAACAAACAATTAAAACCAGGTCCCCTCTATCTAAAGCCAGGGATCTTTCCATTATATTATGCTGCCTCTCCCTATTCTCATATGAGATACGCTTCCTCCATATATTTTGCTGGAGTTTTCTTCCTTGTTTCTCTTTTATCAATTAAAAAACAGTGAAATATATTGATATTATAAAAAAAAGCTCAATTTACTTCCAGAAATCCTTTTTCTCAAAACAAGTTCTTGTGCATGTTTAATTAACATATTGTTTGTACAGTAAATAATATTGCAAATATCATTTTGGGAAAAATTCATACTAGTAATTGAGAAAACAATGCAAAAAAACTTTTCTTCATTTAAACAAATGAATCTCATTTTGCTTTATCTTTTGATGCTTAAGGCAAGGAAATGATAAAAACTTTCTATTCCTATGATTTTTTTTCATCAGTGGGAGAACAACTGCTATCCTGTTTTCCTCTCTTTACAGGTTCTTTACAGATTAAAAGAAAAGATTCAGCTTTCTCTGAGACAAGACAAGGAGAAAAACCAAGAGATCCACCTATCCCCCATCCCATTACAGGCCACCCAATCTGACGCAAAGACGGTCAACAGCATGGTCCAGCCTGAGCACACCCCTAAAGTGGTGAACGTCATAGTGGATCCCCAAGGCCGATGCACTCCTGAAATCAAGCCTGCTATTTCTGCCAGTCCATCGCCTTTCAAAATGAAGCCCATAGGACTTCAGGAGAGGTAAGGAAGTGTCTCTGAACCTACTTTCAAGCTTAGTCACAACCTGACTCTCTCAGGTGCTGATGAATTGGACCTAATTGATTGATTGAGTCTGTCAATTTCACCTGGGAATGTTTGTATCGGTAGCAAGACATTCAGAAATAAAAGTTCTTGTCATCAGAGAGGCAGGTCTTATAGACTGGGCTCATTGAACTACTTAATTACACTTAATTCTGCTGAATTGTCAAAACAGTAAACATCATGGGTACTGATCTCTTGTAAGATCAAGAGAAAGTTAGGTGTTTCGGACATCGCACTTAAGGTAGGAATTACAATGTTACCATGCTCTGTTTTTGTTTCCTTTGCAGTGTGAATGAACAACATGGTCTCTGAGAATATTGCTGTTCTTTTTCTTATTAGCTCCACAAATTATTTATGAAGATGAACCATGATTTCAAACTTCATAGTGAATTCCAATGATCAAATTGTCCAGTTTCTCCAGTGAAGGAGGTTGCAATCTATGTCTAAATAGAAAGTTTCAAGAGTTGTGGCTCCAGCCCATTTACTACCACCAAAATTTGACAACTGCTGGTCAATCTTGTGGTGATGGATAACTTGGAGTTTTGCTGGTGGTGTGGGCCACATGCCGGGGAGATGTGAATTAACTAGCCCTCTGTCCTGTTCCCACAACACTAAATGGGACTGTTGCAAGAACGTTGTGGTGCGGACCTAGAATGATCGAGGTTAATATTGCCCCAAGCTGGACTGATGTGGGTCCTAGTGGTGGGCCATTTGAGTAAGAGGAGTATGAAAGTGGTTTTTGAGATTTTGATGAGGAGCTCCTGAGACCCCTTGTGACTGTTTTTTTTTTTTTTATCTTTGTGCTGGCAGGTTTTATTGCTTTTAATTCTCTGAACTACTTTTAAATCACCTTGTGAATTTCTTCTACCTAAGAATACTGGAAAGATTTTAGTAAAAATTAATCTTTGTTTAAATCCTCTGGCTCAGAGTGGCCCATTGTACCAGATATGAGGTAGTGAGCATCACACCTTGCCTAAACCTGACATTATAACCAGGGCCTGTCCTCAAAACCTTTCTAGCTTGGTAGGACTTGACTGATACAGCCTTTGACAATGTAGGATAAAATCCTTCCCTTTACACAAAGGAGTTGTTGTAGGATTCCAATAAATAGAATGACCCCTTCATGGTGTTTAACTCATCATTAAATTTAGGGAAAAATCATTTTACATAGAAGTACACCTTGTATAAAGTCAGATAAGTAGGGATTACTGAGAGCTCCCCAAAGTAGGATTTCCTATTGAAGGAACTGGGGACATTTAGAACAGGGACGAGAAGGCTTAGTAATCAGAGAAATAGAAAATCAAGGCATGATTGCCTGCCTCAAATATATGAATAGCTATCATAATGAAGAGGGAGAAGACATTCTCCACAGGGCAGATCTATAACTAATGGTCTAAGGTAAAAAGAAGCAGATTCCAGTGCAAGATAAGGATGAATTCATCAAAGGATATATAAAGAAAGAACTCTCTTTCCTTTACACTGTATATATAATTTATATTGCTGAGTTATCTACAGGCTGTCTCCTCCCCCATAAAAATGTGAGCTCCTTGAGGGCAGGGACTGTCTTTTACCCTTCTTTGTATTCCCAGAACCTAGCACTGCACCTAGCATATAGTAAGCACTTAATGAATGCTTGTTGACTGACTAATTGAGCTGCCAAACAATTGGAACTATTAAAAAATTATATAAGCTGCTGCAGGAAATAATGAGCTTCCCGTCATTGGAAGAGTTCAGAAAGAAGCTAGAGGACCATTTACTGGAGATACCACAGCAGGGATCCCCACTTCAGGGATTGCACGAGGTGATCTCTGAGATCTCTTTCAACTCAATGATGATATAATTTTTCTAGCCTGGTTTTCCCAGATCTCCATTTTCCCAGTTTTGTTCTCTTTGCCTTAGGTTTTGAGATCAAGTACATAATTCATAGAGCAGATGTTCAATACAGAAACTAAGGCTCATTTGTAACTCCTCCAATCCCTGGTGCATAAATAGCACTTATTCAAACACTTTGTCAAATTATATGATATGCAAGCACACATCCAGAAAATGTGGTTTAGGACCTTGAGAAAGACAGAAGATAAATTTCATCATCCAGAATCTTGTTTTGTTCTACAAACATTACCGTTAAGCAGTAAGCGCTATGTGAAAGTAAAAGGAATAATTAGCCTTCTGTCATAATAACAGAAGTAGCCTATGGCTCAGTGGATGAAGGACTGAGGTCAGGAAGATCTGAGTTCAAATCCAGCCTCAGATACTTACTAGTTGTGTGACCCTGGGCAAGTCACTTAACCACTGATTGCCTAACAAAATGGATCTACTGGAGAAGGAAATGGCAAATCACTCCAGTATCTTTGCCAAGAAAACCCCAAATGGGGTCAGGAAGGGTAGACCATGACTGAAATGACTGAGCAACCACATTATAAAATAGCTAGCATTTTCATAGCACTTTAGAGTTTAAAAAGCACTTTACAAATATTATCTCATTTTATCTTTGCAATAGCTCTGGGAGGTGGGTGCTTTTATCATCCCCATTTTACAGATGGGGAAAATGAGGCAGATTAAGTGACTTGCCCAGGGTCACATAGCTACTATTAAATTCTTGTTGATTAATTTTCTCTTTTGTTTAGACCTACTCTGCCATTCTTTCACTTGAATGCTTTAAACTTCTCTTTACTCATCTGTCTGAGAGAGAAGATGGAACTTTCTCTGTCAGCATTATTGAGAGCTGAGATCTGGGTTCTAGTCCATGCGGTGCCCCTTATTAGCTACATGACCTTTGGAAGCCACTTGGCCTCTATGAATATCAGTTTTCTATTTTGTAAAATTAAAAGTGTTATACCAAACGATCTCTAAGGTCCGTTTTAGTCTTCCAATACCCTAACTAACATATTTATTACTGTATTTTTTGTTTGCCTAAAAAAGCCAAAGAGTAAAAATTAGAGATCACAAGAGGCTGTGTGGCATAATAGTGAGGGCCATTTTGGTAATCAAGAAGACCTGGGTTCCACTTCTGTCTCTGACACACATTAGTTGTGCAACCATGCC